CGAAGGTGGTATGCGAGTAATATGCGGCAATTCGCATACCCCATCGCATAACTGAACTAACTGAAAGATGAAAGAAATAAGAAATAAATAAAAAATACACTTTCGAGTAGAAGTACGAAGGGGGTATGCGAGCAATATGCGGTAATTCGATACCTCATCGCATAACTGAAATAACAGAAAGATGAAAGAAATAAAAAATAAACTTTCGAGTAGAAGTGCGAAGGTGGTATGCGAGTAATATGTGGCAATTCGCATACCCCATCGCATAACTGAAATAAGTGAAAGATGAAAGAAATAAAAAAATAAATAAATAATACACTTTCGAGTAGAAGTGCGAAGGGGGTATGCTAGCAATATGCGGTAATTCGCATACCGCCTCGCATAACTGAAAGATGAAAGAAATACGAAAAAAACTTATTGTGCACTAATTCCGCGAATAATATGCGACGTTGGCATGTCGCAGTTGTGTCGCAGAATAATTTTTCGACTAATAGTCGTAGTTCATTCACCTAACAAAAATAATTATTTAATGGACGACGGACCGCGATTGACCGAATCGTACATCGAATCTCCGAATATTCATCGTAGAACAGTCGCATAATTTAACTCATTATTTTCTCGCCCATGCTCATGCCTGTCGCCTATTTAGCGCATAGTTCATCGCATATGTCTTCATACTTTTTGGGGTGAAAAACTTAGCTTTTTATTGGGTGGTGTGAAAAACTTAGTATGACTTCAGAACGGGGTGAAAATAGCTATTTCCTCATTAAAAAATATAAACAGTCATTACGACACAATTTTTTAATAAAATTCACTATTTCTCTTCTAATATATTTTTAACTACTAATCATTTATAATAATAATTTTAATAAAATATATTATATCAACTTTAAATCTCATATAAATTTACAAATTCAAAATTAATTCAATCTTACACACAATTTTTTCCACTCTCCCACTCACTTTATTCAACGAAACATTTTTTTTTTCCAAAATAATCCAGAGTATTGAGAACTGTACATGATACGTATATGAAATATCTCAATTCCTACACAATTCATACTTAAAATCTAATTCAACCTTAACTCAACTCCACTATTTTCAATATTATCGATATAATTAAATAAAATCAACCAACCATTCTAACAGATCACATCAACTTTAATCTACTAATATAATTTCAACTAACTATCACTTCATATCATTTATCTTCTACTTTTACATCAACTCAACTTTAATTATTTCATTTCAAAAATTATTTCAATATAAAATTACAATCTCACTGCCAACTAACTATACACTTTGTTAAAATTAATTCTGATTAACCAAAAAACTCATTTTGAGCAGATATATTTGTATACAAGCAGCCCGTTGAAACATGTTTGTCCCATTTTTGTTACATTTTTCGTTGTCTTTTTCCCACTCTTTTTCCCCCGTATTGAGTCGTTTAGGTTGTTTTAGGATCTTTTTGTCATCTATTATGTGTTTTGCGTTCATTTAAGTGTTGTGGTGTTTTCCGTTTGTTTTCCGGTCTTTTTCTGTTCTCTTTTCATTTTTGGTGTGTAGTTTAGAGATCCTGGGAGAACAGGTTTTCAAGAATCTTTTGGAGAAGCTGACACCATTAGAAAGAGGGGCTCGTTAGCGATGCGTAGGAAAAAACGGAACTCAATTCCGAGTTCAAACGAGCCCGAACGAGCAAAAACCGTAAGATGGTGCAGTGTAGCCCAGATTTGTTCGCCGCGGGCCGCGACCCCTTTCTTCACCGCGGGCCGCGGCGAACAAAATCTGCCAGGTCCCAAAACTTCAGCACAGAAAATGTCGCGGCCTCGGAGCAAGTCGCGGCCGCGGAGGCTTTCTTCACCGCGGCCAGCGGGAATCTCCGCGGCCCGCGGAGGGCGCGATTCCAGGTTTTTAAAACAGAGATTCTTAGAGGACGGGGGCATTGGGACTCGTTCCCAGACCCAAAAAAATCACCCAAAACTCATTTTTTTCCCTTCTCTTGCCCTAAGAACACCACCTTGATCTACTTTTTCACTTGGATTTCTTCATTGCTTAAGGATTAAGCTTGTTATT